GTTGTTTTCTTCTAAAAATGACATGTTTCCATTGGTCTTCCCTTTAAGTTCATTTAGTGTCATTTTTTACAGAACCTGGTTGTTCTCTATTGTGTTCAATTTGGATGTATTAGTTTTCTTGTTTCTTCTTTTGTGTTTGATGATCCCAAGGCAAATGAATTGTCCACATGAATGTAATCAATAATTTATTTGGCTACATTAGATAAATTAATTTAATGGCCAAAACAGATAAACCAAAGATGTAATAGATAACCATGATATATACATTGAAATAAACTTAGAAAGTATTGACAAATTTAAGGCTGTTGATAATAATGGCAATTGCAACAAATTTAGTGTCTCTTTTAGAGATAAGATATCTTGTACAGTGACTTGTCAGCTAAGAGAAAGAAAAGGTTCTCTTCGGAGCTAGCATGAGAATAGCTTTGTGGCGAAGGTTGTTGAGAGTGTGGTGGCACGACAGTTTCCCTGGTTCCTGGAGGAAACGGTTTATCTAGATCCATTCCAGTCGGGTTTCAGGCCTGGGCACAGCACGGAAACGGCATTGGTCATGTTGGTGGATGATCTCTGGAGGGCTCGGGACAGGGGTTGTTCCTCTGTCCTAGTCCTATTAGATCTCTCTGCGGCTTTTGATACCATCGACCATGGTATCATGCTGCGCTGACTGGAGGGGTTGGGGATAGGGGGCACCGTGTTGCGGTGGTTCTTCTCCTTCTCTCCGACTGGTCACAGTTCATGTTGACAGGGGGACAGAGATCGACCTTGAGGCGCCTTGTGTGTGGGGTGCCGCAAGGGTCGGTTCTCTCACCCCTTCTGTTCAACATTTATGTGAAGCCGCTGGATGAGATCATCCGTGGTTTCGGGATGAAGTGTCATCTGTACGCTGATGATACTCAGCTGTACATTTCCACCCCGGACCACCCCAACGATGCCCTTGATGTGATGTCCCGGCGCCTGGAGGCCATGCGGATCTGGATGGGGAGAAACAGGCTCAGGCTCAACCCGTCCAAGACCGAGTGGCTGTGGCTTCCGGCATCCCGATATAGTCAGTTGGTACCATCGCTGACTTTTGGGGGCGAGTCGTTGGCCCCCACAGAGAGGGCTCGCAACTTGGGTGTCCTCCTGGATACACGGCTGTCTTTGGAAGAGCATATGACGGCCGTGGCCAGGGGGGCTTTTTATCAGGTTCGCCTGATCCACCAGTTGCGTCCCTTTCTGGATTGGGATGCCTTATGCACAGTCACTCATGCCCTTGTCACTACTTGGTCCAAGCTACTGTCATTACAGTAGCTTGGACTACTGTAATGCTCTCTACATGGGGCTCCAACTGGTCCAGAATGTGGCCGCGCGGGTGGTGATGGGGGAGACTCGGTGCTCCCATGTAACACCTCTCCTGTGCGAGCTGCACTGGCTCCCAGTGGTCTTCCGGGTGCGCTTCAAGGTATTAGTTACCACCTTTAGAGCGCTCCATGGCTTAGGACCTGGGTATTTACGAGACTGCCTTCTGCTGCCAGTAGCCTCCCATCGACCAGTACACTCCCACAGAGAGGGGTTCCTCAGGGTGCCGTCGACCAAACTCAGCTTGAAAGTTTTCTTGCAGATGTTTCATTACCAAACTAGACAACATCATCAGTACTAGAAGGGAGTGCTCTTATCAAGTATATGAGTTTGCTCATATAATAGTCTAGTTGCTTACCCTGTCAGTGTTGATCAGTTGCTTCACAAAAAGTGTTTTGATTGGTGCTGGGTCTCTACAGCCTCAGGCAGGGAAGGGCCATTCTGCACCCTCAAATGTTGTTTAAAATATAGAGTTTCCCAACATTTCTTTAGGAACCTCCAAAATGTAAACTGTGGTTACTCATCCTAAAATGAATCGTCTTTACCTCAAGCTTCAAAATTTGCTGTTTGCTGGGAAGGTGTGTAGCTAAAAGTCAGTCTACATTTAGTCTAAAACTGATTTTGGGGATATTTCTTCATAACCAAACAAAAGTGTATTTTCTGTGCAGTTCACACCCCTTGCTCACAAGGATGTCAAGGATCTGGATGTCACAAAGCAAAGTCCACATTTTGTAATTAACCCTCACATCCCATTTTGGCTGGCAGAGTGCTGCAGGAGGCTGTGCCGTCATGCCCATCCTGGCCATACCCCCTGGCCATGCCCCTGGCCCTCTGAGGTGAAACACAAACTTGATGCGCCCCTCAATGATATTGAGGGTTATAGGAATTATTTTAATAAATAATAAATAATTTGTCTCCCAAAATAAGCTTGCATGGGTTGAAATCCCATTTATGGACACAACTATGTGGTTTCTTTCTGGAAATTCTTTTGAGTTCTCATTGTAGTTTGGTATAATCTGTTAATATCCCATATACATATTACATCATAGCTAGTTAGTTTCTGAATTCAGAGAAATGTATCCTATAATTTGAAGTTAGTAAAATGCTAAAATAATTATAATACAACAAATTCAGATTCAAAAATAAAACAAATTGGAATGGAATGGAAAACGCAGAACAGACTAGGGCTAAAGCAGCAGCTAATATTTAGAATCTATATATCCCAACAGTTACTTCTATAGATTTTTGCTAATGTGGATAAAAAGCTAGGCAGATTTAGCTCTATCCTATGTTTAAAAAAAAGAAATGAAATATTGTACAATACAGTATTAGAAAAGCTGAGACCATGGAAAATATGGGGGAAAAAACAACAAGTTTAAAGAGCAGCAGGTCTAATAGCTACATCTAGATTTTGATGGAAGCAGTCAGCTGGTTAATGTGGCTTCTGTCTAGTTTGCATTGAATATTATCTATTTTTATTGCATGGATGGTAAGAGACTTTGCTAAATTCAAGCTTAGCAGCCTATTTGTCAGCTCTTTAATATATACAAGGAGTGGAGTGCTCTACATTATATTGTTGTATAGTAGAATATGCAACTTATAATAGAGTTTTTCTCTACTTCATCTTATACAAAATCAAATCAAAGTGGGGTCATTTTAAGTTTTTTAAAATCAATCATGCCTTGTGATTTATTAGAACTGAATGCTTTTTCTGAAATTCCACAAATTTACATCCTGTCACCATCACATTTTCTGTAAAAATCACTCATTCCTCCCACATGCAAAACAGGCCACATAACTCATCAAACACTTACTCATTCAACCTTCCTCTAGTTAAACAGACAATAGAATAGAGAAAATCTAGATGGAACTGGAAAGTGCTAGCTACACCATGGCATTATGCAGATTTGTTGTTTGCATAACTACTTGCTGCTGATGCTGTAATAATGCTTCAAAAATTGTTCTGCAGACAGTGGGATGCTTCTAGAATATTTTGCCTCATTTTATTTCTAGTCCAAACCTCTCTGATAAGAGAGCAGGGAGAATTTAAAGATTAATATCAGATGTTTGAGGTTGGCAAGGTCAAGAAAAAAGGCACAATAGGATTCCAGGATTGCTCATAACCACTGTAAATTAGAATAAAATTTTGAAAGCCTATCAGAGCTTCTCTTTATCTTATTTTGAATAAAATGAAGAAAGGTTTATTTGAGATTTCTTTCTTACAATTTCATCTTTTTAGTATGAGTAATCTTTTCTGAAACTCCTCTCTAAACAGTTTGAGCATTTCATTTCCATTCCCAAGGTCAGATCTACATTCTTTCACACTAGTTAAACTGTAAAAACTGGTGGTTGTAAATTTATACTGAGCCCTGATTAGGTGAATCTTGCAAGAATATTAAAGATTGAAGAATCAGAGCAAACCCTAGTAAGAGTATTTGCCTTCTACTTAATAGAGTAGAAGTTAGGAAGGAGAAGACTGGAACTTGGTTGCATCTTAGTGCTATAGAGTAAAACAATATTCCCCTTTCCATTTTTCCCTCACAGAAATAATCCCGTGCGATAGATTGAGCTGGAGGCAGGCTAAGGATTTTACATATAGTAAAATTTGTCTAAATACACAATGCTCCTTCAGGTGATATCAAGTAAGTCCTTACTTAATCATTGTAGGATGAAAAATAAGGCCCATTGTAAAAGCATAAATATTATACTTAAATTGACAGAAATTTCTTTTAAAAACAATAGATCCATTGCTCTATTAAAAATAGTGATTTTAAGTTCTGAATCAGACCCCCCCAAATATATAATAATTATGCCCATCAAAAAGTCTACTATGCATATTCCAGATGTCCTTGTTTCTATAGTTAACATACGCAGCAATCAGATGCCCAGTAGAAAATCCTTATTAGGTTAATTACAGATCTTGAAGAAGGTCAATGTGCCCTTTTGGCATGTTTCACATAATCCATCCTGTGTTCTGGTGGAAAAACAAAATAATTTAAAATTATCTATATATGGAGGGACACTAGAAATCACAGCAAGCAGTTGTCATAGTCTGTTCCTATCTGTGGCTTATGCCTATCTATTAAACCAGCATTCCATCATTGTAAGATAAACAAACCTTTCCACAAGTTGATATTTTGAATAAATTCTGGTCCTAAAATTTATTATGTAAACATATATGCTTAACTAAGGAATTTTGTGTAAGTGAATTAATATGAATTTCTGGTTATCAACAAACATTTATTTGGTCTATCTGAAATGCCTAAGAACTCAGAATGCAGAATATAGAATAATAGAGCTGGAAGGGATTTCATATATTTTAGTTTCCAGGCCACTAATTATCTTTGTTGTTCTTCTCTGAACTCTTTCTAGAGTCTCATTATCTTTTTGTACCATGATGACCAAAATTCAATACAATATTCCAAGGGTGGTCTTAGCAAAGCAGTATATAGTGATACTAATACTTCATGTGATCTTGATACTCTTCCTCTAATGATGCAGCCTGGGATCACACTGACATCTGGCAGCTGCAGCATACTGCTGTCTCATACATAAATGGTTGCCCACTAGGACACCTTGATCAATCTATCAATCAATTCCAACTTCTCACGGGGGGGAAAAAAAGATCTCGTTTTGGAATTGATTGAACTTTATTTTTTTAGTCCCAGAAACTTTTCTTTCCCTGCACATGACGGCAAGAAACGTGACAGAGAAATGCAATGGACCTGGAAATCAGGTAGGCAAAGAAATGCTTGAGGGAAGCAAGGGCATCTGGGCGCCAGGAGCGGAAATGGGCCCATCTGTTTCCAGCAGTTGCTCAGGCCCACTGGAGGGAAGGCCAGCACTTTAACATGGTGGCATTCTAGATCTGGCTGGGAAGGGACAGCTGGCATGGACGCTGCAGGCAGGATGCCCACTTGCTTTAGCATCCTCCTCGACACTCTGGCGGTCTGCTGGTGCTTTGGCCATGGGCTGCTGCCTTATGCATAAGCCCCGCCCCTCCACCTGCTGTAAAGTGAGGCAGTTTTCTTGAATTTTTGGGCAGGGTTTTTCTTCCCCGCCTGGAAAGAAGTTGAATGAAAACAAGATGCGTTCTGAAAAACACAGATTTTTCCAAACACATCTAACCAGTTTGCCAAACTCAGCAAAAAATTAGCTACCAGTTCTACCAAACCAGTGCAAACTGGCTAAATCCCACCACTGGTTGTTCTACTTAAGTTTCAGTGACAGAACAAAAAGTAATACAGGACCTTTCAATGGTATGTACTATTTTCATACATGTTATTGCTCTTGTACTATTCAAGCACTCCAAACAGACAGCAACAACAGCCAGAAGAAAATCATTCTTAAATTTAAAGTAGATATTTTGGTTTGGGGGACTTAACACTAATTTAAGTTTCATATAAACATCAGGGAAAGACCATCAAATTTAGCTCAAATTTTAGTGACTAAACAGAGTCACTAGATGTCATATAGCTTTCTTGACAACAATATGAAAATAGATTGTTCTCTTTTTCTGGTAATTTTTTTTCAGCTTCCAGATCTTGGCTATGATCTTGGGATACCATGGTTCTCTTCTTTTCTATGTGGACAATGGAGTCAGTGATCATTGGGAGAAATCCAGCCTTTAAGGTACTACAATATGACTTCCCAGAGTTTGATAATATTTTCACTTAAAATATATGAGAAACCATTGGGAGAGAACACCCACCTGTTCAAGATGAGATGTCATCATTATGATAAAGACAACTGATTTTTATACTGGCTTTTACTAGCTTCAGTCTCAGCTGGAGGGAAAATGCTGTGGATGTCTTGCTCATTATATCAACTTTGATTCTGGACAGGATTGTATTATTTTTCTCTTTAAAATTCTTTTAAAAATACTGTCATTCTATCCTTTTTTGATAGAGGTTTGTTTAAAAGAATACTGGAGATAGGATTAGATTCCTTAATTTTACATTTTAACTAGAATGAACTGCTTTATATTTATACATAGAAAGCAAAACTAGGAAATAAGTAATACAATACATATTTTTTGCATTGTAAACTTATTTATATTTTGTATTTCAAGCAAATATTACATTCTAAATAATGTAAGTATTGCAGCTCTACTTTTTACTATCATTTCAAAACCAATTCTAATGTTTATTTTGATGTTTCTTAATAGTTTGCTAACATAATAGCTTACATGATCAGGATTTGAAAAAAGTTCACCCAGTGGCCAAGCCAAGTATTATGGAAATTCATTATAAACATTGACTTCTAAATATTATGACTAGACAGGAGGATAGTTAAATTGTAAGTAACCAGCATCATTCTCTGCATATGCAGAAATATACATGTGTTTCCTGAAGGCTTTCTAAAATACGAGTTATGAAGTGAAATAAGAAATGTTTTCAATTATCGTGAAAGATACTTCCTTCTAGAGTGTCATGATATAAGCAGTGGAGGGTGCTGTGGAGAAGACTAATAGCAAAAAGAGAACAGTGTATTAAAGAACTGTTGAACATTCCCCCCCAAATTAGCTCATCTCTAATTAGCTCTCTTGTGTCCTTCTGTGCTTTGTGCAATATAGTGTTTGTTTAAAACTGTTAAGACCTGGATACATTTTAAAAGTTAACCTCATGGGTCTTTTTTTTTTTTTCGTAGAAGGGAGACCAAAATAAATAAATCTTTGACTGATCAAACAAAGTTGCTCTACCTATTAACTATTAACTCTCTTTTTTAGATAAAATATTCCGGTGAAGGAATAATATGCGGTCTTCCAGATGTGATTGCTCCCAGGAACTCCCACCATTTGCCATATAGCCTAAAGCAGAGAACAGCTGCAGTTTAACCATCTAAGGCCATTCTTTCTTTATCTGTCAAACAGACAGATAGCTAAGGACGTTCGTGTGAGCATCCTGGATGTCTTCCTTTTCAAACAATTTAATTTTGCTTAACATTCTCTATGTTTAGATGTTAAAACATGCTCAAGTAACTATTATGTTTTGCTTTAAGACAAATGGGTAGTAAAGAAGCAATTTTAGAATCACAAACATTCAAACAATATCACTGATATAAATGAGAATCACAACTGATTAAACTACGTCATTCTGAAAAAATGAAAGTACACAATTACTTAAAGTCATTTACTCCTTTTGGCTTTGACAGAACCAAATCAAATGTATATGGAAATATTTCAATATTATTGTATATTATTATTTAATGGATTATACTATCTGCCATATGGGAGAGAAGAAAGCCATACTTTGAATGATAGAAATATTTTAATGTGTCAATATAGTTTATTACATTTTAGTAAAAAGATATAGCATGTCTTTTGCTATATTCAAGATATTTCTTGTAAAATGTTGCAATCTTCATTGCAGTATCTGTATTTGGTCTAGTAGTTTAAGGCACAAAGCTGGAAACCAAGAGACTATGAGTTCTAGTTCCATTTTAAGCATGAAAGCCATGGGGGTGACTTTGATCCAGTACTCTCTCTCTCAGCCCAATCCACATCACAGGATTGTGGTTTGTAGAAAATAGGAGGAGAAAAGAGTATATTTTCACTACATTGAATTACTTATAAATAATAAAGGTGGAAAATAAATAAATCTATGAAATGGGCCAGTGCAATTTACTGCCTAAAATGTATTTTATTTCTCTTAATTATATAAGTATAGGATTGATAGATAGAATTAGTTAATTCATTGGTAAAATTATTTGTACAAATCATTTTCTGGAAAAAAAATACTCTACTAATGCCACTATTACTAAAAGAGCAATAATAGGATAGGCTTAAAATATTGCTTTCTGATCAGTCAGTCATAAAAAGTTGTCTGTAAGGGCTAAGATCTTATATTGCTGGCTATCATTAAATCAGTATGTTTCTTTTCTGTTAATAAACTTGACTACAAAGAATGTTAAACTTTCATGATATGTAAATATAACATAAAAATAATTCACAATGATCTGGGATAATAAAATCTAGGACTACTTGCCTAAAACATTGACACAATATCAAAGAAAATAAGTTCATAATTCTATATTTCAGATCTGTTCCACATCTGATCATAATATGTATATTAACATGTTTATTAATATGTAATTAATTTTCTAGACATTTATGTCAGTGCTTAGACCAGCTGAAAATAATCATTCTGCATCTATTCCCCATATGCCTATTGGCTCACTTTTGACCTCCACACGTGGTCTGCAAAAGAAAGGCTGTACAGTACTAGCTTCTCATAACTTGGAGCTCTTCAAATGACTAATTATTGTATACTGTACTATTAACGGCAACCATACTTTATGTCCTGGATCCTTCTGGGTGTGTTATCTCTTTCGCACTGACTAAATTCTGACTCAGGCTTGTTGTTCAATAATTAGATTAATAGTTTTTTTCAGACTTTATGTAAATTTGAGGAAAGGTGGGAGCAGAATAGTGGCCATCATCCTCAAGCTTGCCCCCCCTTTTTTTCTGCTGGCTTTTTGTTCTAGCTATGATGGTCTTTTTGCATGATAAACAGAGGACTGATCTGATCTACTCTGCTTGCAATCTAGCCATAGGCTCTCCTCTTCCAGCAACTCACTTTAAGTCAGGCAGCTTTATTATATTTGTTGTAATAATGCATGAAGAGATTCCAGCCAGAGTCTTATGCAATATTATTTAAGCTCTTATAAAAAACAGAGAAAGGAAAGACCTCATCCAAGAGTCCAGGTATCAAAATAGCTTCATACTCTTCACACATATACACACATGCCAGACTGTTATTCACTCTTTCGGAGAAAAAGTCTTGTTACTGAGAAAACTGTTTAGGAATCCTTTATTGAGACAACAGTACACATAGAACACCCTTCCTTTTTCAGGGAAGGGAATACTGTAACTGGACCATTAGCACAATTCAACTCTTTTTGCCATGCAATTATGTAAGAGATAAAGTGTAAATATATTTATTTATTCTAGCATGATCTTCATGCAGCTGCCAGATTCTATATGGCCTATCTGAAAGCTAATCTATTTGTATGCATATTTTCTATACTCACATATTAATAAGTATATGATTGGGCACAGATCAAACACATAAAAAGATATTTACTAACGGCCATCAGCAGAATCCTCAGTTTGCCATTACCTCTTAATAGTTAGGCAGTTCCATCTGTGTCACAGAAGATGGTAACCTTATCCTTGCTTCTTTGCCAAACAAAAAGACTAGCTCATAAGGAGATTCCATATCATCTTTGGTGAAAAAAGAAATTAAATGAAAGGAGAGAAAATAATATCTAAAATACACCAGGGATCAATGCTAGGTCTGTTTTTAATTAAGAATTTTATTAGTGGTTGGGAAAAAAGAATAAAGATGACATTAAATAAATTTGTTGGTGATGTATAATTGAAAGAATTTTCAAATACCAGTGAGGAGACCAAAAAAACAACAACAACAAACATGCAGAGGAATCATTAAATTAAACGTAAAACTCAATCAGGAAACCTATCAGAGATAGAGAAGTTTTTTAAAAATGAAAGGACAATTCTAAGAAAACTGATGAATTAACATCTTAGTCACATCTTAGTCGTAGTCAGAATTCATGTTTCTATCAAGGTGAGTATCTCTGCATTGAAGTATAACTTTTTTGTCCAGATCCTGCTCTTATTCCAACTAGAAAAATGGTTCATCTGAAGGAAGCATGACTTGGTGGTAAAGCTGAATTTACAATCACAGTAGAAAGTGTGATCAATGGCAAAAAACTGGAAGTTGCAATGCAAAATATATGTGGATTGTTCAGGTTAACTACACATGATCTGGATGACATATAGCTATGCTTAATTAACTTTAGAATCTGATATAGGTATCAGCTATCATAGTTGATCAACTTATCAACTATGGAGTTGATAAGATTAATGATGGATGCAGTCATTAGTACCAATGCACCATGAGGAATGACAGAACTTGCTTTTTCAAGTCAAAGAGCTATGAAGTTAATAGTCTTTTTAAAAATATAATATTTAGGCAATGTTTATTCAAGGACAGTTAAAATAGTAAAAAGAAAAAACACAACAAACAAATCATTAAAAATAAAAAGTGTCTTAGAAAACACATAACATCTTCCCTAATTGAATGCTGATTAATATAATATGACAATGTTAATTTCTCACTCCTTACAAAACAGGCCAGAGGAATTTAAAACTATTCAACCATTAAATCTGTTTACAAATCTGTTAGCTTCATCTATATACTTTATTAATAACAAAATAGTTAACAGGAATAATAATAATAATAATAATAATAATAATAATAATATATAAAAATATAGAAATAATAAAAATTATCAATAATAATGAAAGACAATATTAACATCCCAAAACTTTATGTTAACAAACCCTTATTATAGTCATCTAGGAAACTTATTCTAATACACTACCATTATGAGGAAAAGTACTGAATGCTTCATTGTTTAGTAAAATATTTGTCAAGCAAATATATAAGGAATTAGCTTCTCTGCCTCCCAAATTGATCTTTATAATTCTTTGAACTTTTGAACTACATTATTTTTTAAAAAACTTATATTATTTCAAAATTAATCATTTACTAAGGTTTATGAAGATAAACTTAAAAGTATAAGAAGTTTATCTCCTACTTGTATGTGTGACAGAAGTTTCATTTTGCCCTAGATCATTAATATGTATTTCACCTTACTATTTAACTTCTCCTAAGCTGTGTAGTCAGTGATTATTTCTTCGGAGTCAAGCCATATGGCTAAAAATAGTCAGCAAAACTCTTCCAGACCAGACTATTTATATTAGCTCATTAAGAGGCTGTCACTTTCTGTTATCTTCTCACACTCTAAAATAAGGAATAAAACTGTATACTACCCAATCTGATAAAAGTGTGCCAAGGACTGGCCTTGAAAGAAGAAATTAATTGGTATTTCAAAAGCTAATAAGGATGGTGTAATGAAGCAAAAGATGGGAAAATACATACAAGACTAAGAAGGGAGGCAGTCTATAAATTTGAGATGCAGATATGCAGTTTATCAGCTCTTTTAAAGATCTTGAAATTCTCTGTTCCTCATTTGTTAATACTTCAAAAACAAATTTCCTTACACTTCATTTCAGGGTAAACTTAAGGGAAAAGAAATGGGTTATATTCTAAAGGTTCTAATAAACAGGTGGTGTTCCAGGTAAGCAGATCGTGTTTGTTTTCTTTTACATTATTAGAGTAGCATTAATAGTTAACCAAATGTGTGCCATAGTTGACAAAAATGTCTGTTGTGGGTAGGAAAGTCAAAATAGTTGTATGAGTACCCATGGGCAATGTGTTGAAAACTTCTGATGTATTGAAATCATTTTAAAACAATGAAGATGGGTACTTTTTAATTTTCAAAATTTTATATTTCTTTCACTATTGGAGTATTTGAATAAGCCAGTACGTTATGAATCTCATAAGGCATTTTTTTCCTTTTGATTTTGTTCTTGAAAATACACCAATTAATAAAGACAAAAGAATGGGTTGCCCTTCTAATCTGAATTAGATTTATTGAAAAATCCAATCTCTGATGGAGTTTTTGTTAGGAGGTGGAAGAAGAAGCTGACTTTATAGTACATAGTAGGAAAGCTCATTAGTTGCTCTGAAAAAAAATCTTCTTGGAATACACAAGAGACATATAAAAGACATCAAGTACTCAAGTGTTAGATTAAAGGCAACAAAATGAAACAGGGAACTCTTTATTGTGTGAAGACCTTACACAGGTTGGAGACACTTCTTGATTTTAGAAATCAGATCTCAGGATTATGAGGGCAAGGAGATGGAGATGGAGGCTAAATTGGGGTGGCACACAGCTTAGACCACAGATTAGAGTTGATGGCAAAATGAAAAAGGTATTCTAGCTTAAGTGTACCTTATTTTAAATAATTTAATATACTTTAATTTGACTTTTTTAAATTAGAGGTTTCAATACTTTCTCAGAAAATTCACCAAAGATGCTTGTATTCTGAAGTTTAAAATCATCTAGGTAGGTAGACCTGCATGTATATACACATCTTACACTTCATGTACAATGTGTGCGACAGGAATGAACTTTTCTTTGGTTGAAAGTTGTATTTGGAGTAATGTGTCTG